AGAGAGAGAGAGAGAGAGAGAGAGAGAGAGAGAGAGAGAGAGAGAGAGAGAGAGAGAGAGAGAGAGAGAGAGAGAGAGAGAGAGAGAGAGAGAGAGAGAGAGAGAGAGAGAGAGAGAGAGAGAGAGAGAGAGAGAGAGAGAGAGAGAGAGAGAGAGCGTCTCTGAGGGCGGGAGCACAGTCCTGGTTCGAGACATGCCGCGCGGGGAGCTCGGTGCTACTGAAGCCGAGGTGCTCGCGCATGAACCCGACCGTGACCGTGCCCCCGTGTGCGTTCGCCTGGCACGAGATCACCCGAGATCGCCCGAGATCACCCCGAGATCGCCCGAGACCAAACCGAGATCGCCCGAGATCACCCCGAGGTGAGCCGAGATCGCCAAAGATGGCCCGAGAAGCCCCGAGATGCCCCGAGATTACCCGAGATGACCCGAGATGCCCCGAGATTACCCGAGATGCCCCGAGATGACCCGAGGCGAATCCGAGATGACCCGAGGCGACTCCGAGATCGCCCGAGATTGCGCCTGGTCGGTGATCACTCCGACGACGTACGACTGGCCGTGGGCGGCGGCGCGCTGGTCTCTGAACTTGACGAGGTAGCCGCGCAGCCTGTTCACAGCTAGAGGTGTGAAGAGACGCTGTTCACAGCTGCTCTCTGAACTTGACGAGGTAGCCGCGCAGCCTGTTCACAGCTAGAGGTGTGAAGAGACGCTGTTCACAGTGGTCTCTGCACTTGACGAGGTAGCCGCGCAGCCTGTTCACAGCTAGAGGTGTGACGAGACGCTGTTCACAGCTGGTCTCTGAACTTGACGAGGTAGCCGCGCAGCCTGTTCATTGGCAGCTCACCGCTTCCACAAAAGGGCGCTTCTAACCACTCGTAACAAAGGTATAGCCGCGCAGCCTGTTCATTCACGACTAGCCGTGACTAGCCTGTTCATCCGTCTTTTGGCAAGGTCTCTAGCGCCGCAGCCTGGTCGGCAGCGACGCGGGGGCGGCGGCGCGGCCGTAGAAGCCGAACGCCGCTTGCAGCAGCTCGCGCCGCATGTAGAGCCTGCGGTTGGGGTGGGGCAAGGGGAGGCCAGGGCCAGAGCTAGTCCCTCGCGACTCCACGTCTAGACGACAGGAGCCCCGCGGCGCTAACAAGGCCCGGTGCGCGTGCTTGAGCTGTGCGTGTGCGTGTGCGTGCGTGCGCGTGTGCGTGCGTGCGTGCGTGCGCGTGCGCGTGTGCGTGTGCGTGTGCGTGTGTGCGTGCGTGCGCGTGTGCGTGTGCGTGTGTGTGTGCGTGTGCGTGTGCGTGTGTGCGTGTGCGTGTGTGTGTGCGTGTGCGTGCGTGTGCGTCATACTGCGTGTGTGTGTGCGTGTGCGTGTGTGTGTGCGTGTGCGTGCGTGTGCGTCATACTGCGTGTGTGTGTGCGCCTAACCGGCCATAATGAACCAACTATGTGAATGCGAGCCTCCGCAGCAGCTCGCGCAGCTCCGACTTCTCCAGCCGACGGACTGGCGCGGACGATTGCCTAGCCACTCATAATTAAGTGACTAACGAATGTGCGTTTCGAGTCGAGGCAGCGGGCTGGCGCGGGCGGATGCCTAATCACCATGACTATTGATGAATTCACGGAGCAACGAGAGACTGCTCGGACGCGCCGAATGTGTGGGGATGGCGCGGGCGTGGCCGCCTAATCAAGCATGATGAGCTGACGACAACTATTGACTAACTAAGTGACTAACGAGTGTGCCGCTCTTCGTGATATGGGTATGGGGGGCAGGCGGGCGTGTGGGGCTGCCGGCGAGCCGCCGCCGCCGTCGTGACTACGCAAATGCAGGATTGCCCGTTCACGAGCGAACAGACGTTTATGCCGTAGATCATGAAGGCAATGGCCATCGGCTTTGACAAGGATACACCCACGCTCAGTGGCTTGACCACCTCACATTTTTTGC